TGCTGCTGGTGCTGCTGGTGCTGCTGGTGCTGCTGGTGCTGGTGCTGGTGCTGGTGCTGCTGGTGCTGCTGGTGCTGCTGGTGCTGCTGGTGCTGCTGGTGCTGGTGCTGGTGCTGGTGCTGGTGCTGGTGCTGCTGCTGCTGGTTCTGTTGCTGTTGCTGTTTCCAGTCATCATGTAGAACAGTAGCAACAACACCAACCAAGCAATCCTGTTTTGCCTCAGCTGGATTCATCCACAGTTCTCAAAGATCAGAAGCCCCAGTATTTTTTTGTGACAATGTTAATGTTTCCAAAATCAGTGTAGTAGGACAAGAACAACAAGAACAACAACAACCCCAGCGCCCAGTACTCAACCAAGACGACCTTTGAAGAGCAATGCCTGGAGTATATCCTGCATACTCAGTTTAGAGAAGATTCCCCTGCCCTATCTCCATGCAGTTACTACTGTATTATTTACAGACTGGAAGTGTTTTCCAGTCATGATGTTGTTGTTGTTTCAAATATCAGTGTTGGACAACAAGAACAACAGCAACAAACCCAGCCCTCAGCAGTATTCCAACATGAAGAACAACACCTGGAGTATAAGCTGCATCATACTCAGTTTAAAGAAGATCCCCCAGCCTTATCTCCATGCAGTTACTGTATTATTTACAGACTGGTGGATGTGATTTCTGGTCACAATGTTGTTGTTTCAAATATCAGTGTTGGACAACAAGAACAACCTCCAGTTTCAACCAAAACCTATCCTTTGAAGAACAAGAATGCCTGGAGTATAAGCTACATCATACTCAGTTCCTTCTTCTTCAAGAAAATGCTCCACAAACAGTTGCTCCTTGGGGGGTTCAGCTGTGATTTGAAAGAAGTGTGTCAGTTTTCTTTTTTCTTTTGGCTTTTCTTTTTCTTTTTGATTCTCATAATCTTTTTGACTACTTCACCACGTGTGTCCTTGCCCACTGGGATCTGATTTTCCCTAATTGGCATGGCAGTGTGTGCTTGGCACTCATTTCCTTGATCACTGCCATGGGACTTGCCTTTTGGCTTGGCAGTGTTGTTTGAAACAATAATGACATGGTTCTCATCCATCCAAACTGTGAACCAACTCCTTTTATGTCCTCTGAATCCAGCCTCAGGCCTTCATTGGTCTGTCAGTACTATGCATAAAACTTGGTCGTGCCTCCACAAAACCTCCTTGTAGGGAAGTGCTGCCCCTTGGAGCAGCTAGGAGCATTCTTCTCCCTAGTCACATGAAGCTATGGATCTGACCATATAGTTCCTCTTCTAGTTCACGAGGTTAAATATAATATTAATTTTTTTTAATCACAACCAACACCAAGAATTCAATCCTTTGGCTTACACTGGACATTTTGCAATGCAAAGTAAGCCTCGTTTGAATGTCACCACTGTTGATTTGGTCCTTGTCCTTGTCCTTGGAATTGAATCGTCGATCCCGGATTGCTGTGGGACTGTAGTGATACGTGGCTTGGAGGACCACTGGAGTTGGAGCCATGATAATTCTGAGTTTGGATCTGCATCAACTGTGGTTTCATGTTCCCATGTTCATCCATATAATACAGTCCTGGAGTGAACCTCCTACTGCTGTTGCTTGCATTTGAATTGCCCTGGTTTCTCTGGTTTCCTGTGTAATTGTGGTTGTTGTTCCGGTTATTACCTTGGTAGTTGTTTCCTCTCTCATTAGATGGGCATTCTCCCCAAGAGTGTTCTCCTTTGTGCCTCCTGCAGGGCGCCGCATTGATCCTCTTCTGTCTTTCTTCCKGGGTCTCATTCTGTCTCTTATTCCTATTATTGTTGCTGTTGCGTTTCCTCTGTTTCCCTCTCCTTCCTCCTTGTCCTGTACTGTTGTTATCATCTGTTGAAGCTTAAACAGCTCCTAGTTAGCTTTCTTGCTGGGCGTTGAAGGTTCACGGTAAGGGAGACTGTCTTCAACTTGCTCTCGTCAAAGTTGTTGATTAGGCTAAGACAGGATCGGTGTGTTTGTTTGGAGGAGTTGTTGGTTGATTTCACCATGGTCGATGTTGTATTTTTGGTTATTTTTCTTAAGGGTTGATTAAATTTCGATACACAAAAATCACTTAGTAATTACTGTGCACAAGATTACGTGTACTCTTAGTAGGTGTTTGAGTGTGTATGAATATTGAATTATAATTAAGATATAAGATTAAGATTCTCGCTTTCAGTAGACCTGATTGGATCCCGTGTAGCTCTCGGTACTAAATCTACACAGGGTTCTTATTATTCTGATCTACTGACATCTTTGTTCCGTGCGAGGTATTCTATTTCTGATATCGTGGACCTCTTACGATCTTTGGACCTCTTAAATGTTCAGTGTTCGGTCCTCTTATGATGCATCCTATGATACATACATAGGAAGCGTACCTTACGATAGGTACATAGGAATGGTATGATACTTCATTTCTTTCTTTGGAGCTTCGTATCGTACGTAACAATTCATCAGTACGTACGTCCGTTGCAATTAGTATCCACAGCACCTTTGAGATATCCATTTCAATGTATGAGTTATATTCTCTTCAAGACTTGATTACCTTTCTCATCCACATCCTTTTCAGCAAACATCAAGCAGTGGTCTTGCTTGTGCTTGTGCCTGTGCCACTTGATTCTGGCCTAAGTGTGTCTTAATTCATTTAATCTCTCTTTGTTGAAGCAGAGTGAATATCATATGGGCAACTTTTTTTGAGAAAATACGTACCCCTTTTTTTCTTGTGTCCACCAAACCTCCAGTGTGTCATGGTTTTGGTCGCATTTAAACCTAAACATAGTTGCAAGGGTTGTGTTGAGTTGTTATGGAAAACCAGTGCGACTTCCGTTTTGATGTACACCAATGTCAGTTTCATTGTTGTCAAACATGAAATTGTTCACGATTGAAAAAACATTGAACTGTAGTCCTTCACTTTCACCAAAATCTGATTCCCTTGACCACGCTGACCGTGCCATTTGCTTCTTGTCTTTACTACAGTATCACTGCTATTTTTATCTGTTCTCAAACAAATGGTACTTTTCATCACAATTACATTTCAAATGATGGCGTCTTCTTTGCTGGTAGAAACCATATACACATTCACTTTTTGAAATCTAACCACAACAACAAAACATTGTGCAGATGCCCCTCTGTTTGCAACACACAAATAATCACAGCTGTGTTACAAACAAGCATTATTTCACAATTTACAAAAACACATTACCGAATTTTATCTGTTCTTCACTGCCTTTCTCATCATATTTATTTGCAACTTTACTGCAATGATTCCCAACATGCCTGACATGGAAACATCTGAAATTAATGGTTCTCCATCTTTGCAACAGAAGTTGAAGAATCCATCCACCAAATGGGGAAGTAAGATCTTGATCCAAGAGCTTTGCCACTCCACACACAAAGATCTTACTATTTCCTTGTTGCGTTTTCTTCACAAGCCGGACGGCGAGCTTAGGCAGCACAAGATCCAAGTAGACAAGCATTTCAAATGTCTTGAAGAAAAATTAATCATGGGCTGTCTTCAGGACACAGTCAATGAGGCATATGTTTCAACCTACATGACTTTTCTGTCCAAGGAAGCTAATCTACGTACCCTACAATTGGTACACAATCAATTGTCCATTGTTGCAAAAGATGGGAACTCATGGGCACATTCTCAGGAGTGGCAAGATTGTTTTGCTGACCTGGTGACATACATACTAGATCAACTTAATCTCTTCATACATCACAATAATGTCATTTTAAGAATGTGTGCGAGTGAAATATCCAATTGTTTTGATATGCTTGACGTTGACGGTTTAAAATCTTCAGTTGTTGTGTCTCTCCTGAATACAATTCAGGAGTCCACCAATAACATGGAAAAATGCATCAACAGAAAGAACATCCTTGTGGATCACCTGCGCCACTTCTGTTCAAGAGTGAAATTATATCTTCAGTGCCCTCCAACCAAATGCAAACCTGATAAACAGCTATTGCATCTTCTCAAGGAATTCAAGCTACTTATGGTCAAATGCGACAAAGACCCCGTTCTTTACAACTTCACCAGCAAAGTTGTAGACACTTTGGGTGACAATGAGGTTATATCAAAATTCCTCAAGAGGCTCAGGGCCAGCATAATTGACAGCAACATCTCAAAGGATCCCAAGGAACCAAGCAAAGGCAATGGCACTTGGTTCCACAAATAGCCCCTGAAAAGGCTATTGGTGGAAACAAGCGCCGTTGCCTTTGCTTGGTTCCTTGGGATCCTTTGAGACATCGCCATTGATTACGCTTGCTACTAGCCCCTGAAAAAGCTATTGCTGGCAATTTGGCTTGCTGTTATTAACTTGCTGTTGCTAGATGGCTTCTTGTGGTCACAAGAATACAATTAACTAGTAGAGAATAGGATAAGGTCAGTGGATTAAAGATGCTGGATGGGTACATTCTGAATATTCATCAAAATGTGAGCATTCCAGCAACTTGTTCAAAGAAATTGGTTTGCGGATGCTTACGTGGTGGCATGCAAATACAAGACCAAACGTGGTGGGATGCAAGAATTCCACATGCAACTGCTTAGAACGCCACTTGTAGAACATGGTGGCATGTGAATACAAGACCAAACATGGTGGCATGTGAGAATTCCACAGGCAGCTGCTTAGAACGCCACTTCAAGACCAAACCAAGTGGCATGTGAGAACAAGCCACAAAAAATTCCACGAGCAACTGCTTCAAACGCTCCTGCTTGTAGAAATAGGCTCCACTAGCAAGTACAAGAGTGACTTGCAAGTACAAGACCAAACCAAGTGAGTGGCTTGTGAGAACAAGACCAAACCAAGAAGCTTTTGTGAACAAGATCAAACCAAGGAGGTGTCAAATACAAGCACCAACCAACCGGAATTGAGAAAACAAGGATCTAAAGATACTGTGGACAATGTGATCCAATCACTGTTTTGGTGAGATTTGTTGAGCATAGAGAGGGAGGGGGGTGTATCCACCCACCCCTCTTCCTGGAACACCATTGGTCACTACTACAAATCCTACTTGTTGGGTTGTGTACAGTACTAGTAGTACAGGAGGTGTGTATTGGATGAAAAAAAAACATGGCTTGGCTTGGCACCCTTCCCATTAGCCAGATATTTGTTAACAAAAGTGGTATTTTTTGAGAGTAGACAGGGTTCTCAGAGTACTACTCTGTAAAGTAATCATTTGAGGAATTTTAGCACCATAAAAAATATCTGTAGGAAATTGCTTGTGAATAGTGGTAGGAGCATAGAGCATGATTTTGGAGAGATAAAAAACATGCCATCATCAACACATAAAAGAGGAGACAAGGAACCAACGTTGGAAGGGAAACTAACACGTTCCATGCAAAAGAAAGCTAAAGCACCAATTACAAATAACAATGATGCAGAAGACAGTAACAAAGGCAACGTGCCATTGGGCACGAGTGTTATCAGTGTAAGTACCAAAGTGTGTGATAGTGCAAGTCCCTAGAAAGTTGACTACAAAAGGATAATAGAGCAATTGAGAAGGGAAAAGGAAGGCTTAAAAGGGAGAACAATGCTCTAAAGACAGAAAAAGATGAACAAATACCAGTTGGTTCGTTGAAGAGGAGTGGTAAGTTGTCTTCTACCAATAGCACCTTGTGCTGCACCTTGACCATGATGACAGTTCATAAGACGCACAAAATAAAACTTCCCAAAAATGTTGAACAACAAATTTTCAACAACCTGAAACACAATGTCAGGCAAAACATATTCAAAAACGTGAAATTCTTGATTGAAGAAGACAATTGCAATCACCGTATATGTCTGCAGGCGGTACAGGAAAAATCAGTAAGCAGAACCAAAGAGTTTGAGACGGATGAAGAGTTCACCAAATACTTGGTGGAGAGAGGAGTTCTACTCAAGGTGCTAAGTACATTGCAGCACAACACACAAAGTTTGGCGTGAAGAAATTGGATTTGTAAGTGAAAACGAAATACACTATTGGAAAGGCTAGTCAAGTGTCATTGACTCACCACATTGATTATTTCAACAATTCATTGTGTTGGAACGGATTACAGAGGACAGGAAGAACGGTGTCATTGTCCCAGATGCGTTTCCGGGGTCAGTTGCGATTGATTGGAAAAATAGCCATGAGGGAAAAAATTTAAGTGCGTCTTACAGGGCATATGGAAATGCAGACAATGCAGAGTTCTACAATTTTTTAACACAAATGTTGGCCTCTGTAAATCTGGTACAGAACAGTTTCAAAAGCCACAAGGCAAACTCAAGATAAGCGACATGTTCACTGTTTCACAATGAATATGATACGTGGGTGAAGTTTGAGGAGAATAAAGTGGACCCAACTGTAAAAAATGAAAAAAGAGATTTTTTGACACAGATAGTGGAAGGAGAGAGGGTTGGGCAATAGAGGGGATACTGTTGTTTTCAAGGTTGTGTGAAGAAATCAAGGAGTTGTGTAGAAACCCAGCAACCGGATCAGAGTTTCAAGCCCTAATGCTAGAGCAGATACAAGAGGAACTGGGTGGTGACTTCCTACCCCAAGCACCACCAGTAACCATTCAAACAATGCAGCATAAACCTTACATTCCTGAGGCATTGCTACTACTTGGCCGCGGGAATAATAACTGTGATCACTCAGTAATAGGTCAGGCAATAGAAGATGTTTGATTATGGGCAATAATTTAATAAGATGGATACAACATTCATGCTTACTATGTATTTCCCAAAATGCATTACTGATATCATGCACTTCCTTTTGTGCATTAAAATGAATTGTAGTGAAAAAATACAACCCTACATTCAAAATGATAAACAAAGGTTGTGACTCAACGACAAATGTAAATGGGTCAGACACAAAATGGCTGGGATTCATAGTGCAAAAAAATAAAACAGAATTTAAAAAAGATTCAGGAGGGGGGGGGGGGGCAGACAAAGAAAAAGAAGTGGTGTAAAATTTGTGCGGGATGAAAAAAATAGGCTTTCGCATAAAAGGTAGGTTCAGATTTGAATTCTTGCATGCTGAAAAAATAAATGAAAAAAAGGGGAGCTCATCTCTTGCGCGACACAAGCTCAATGTGTACTTAGACCATAAAAATTGTTTGGGCATGCGACAGGGTGGCGGATAGTTTTTGCAACATAGTACTAGTAGTTTTTGGTCACTTTTTGACCGCAAGCAGAGTAATAGGACACTTAGAACTGCTCTGGTATGTCCTGAGAGCAGCTGTTCTTTGGGGAAAAGCTTCCTAATAGTAATACTAAAACCGTTACAGGATTATGTGAAAAAGTACGAGTACTATACACTACGTAGTAGTAGTATTGTCGGTCGTACTACAGTACAGTACTAATAAATAGTAAACGTACATGAATATAATTTATATTATAAACAGTATGCGTACATATATATAAATTATATTTATGGAGAAATAATTTTATATTTATAGACGTATATATAATATTGGAGTCTCAGATATGGCATGTGCTGGTGATAGGGCTATGCATTACTGTGCACGAGATTACGTGTACTCTTAGTAGGTGTTTCAAAGTGTGTATAAAAATGAAATTATAAGATTAAGATTATCTTATCTCAATGTGAGATTTCCGAAGTTCTGATTAGATCCTTGTGTAGGTCTGGTACTGAATCTACACAGGGTTCTTACTATTTGGAACTTGTGACATCTTTGTTCTTTCTAAGATAAGACATCTCTCGATATCTTCTTGTTAGACCTCTTACGATCCTCAATATGATGGATTGTATGATAAGTATATATGAAAAGTACCTTATGATATATAGGTAGGAATGGTATGTCAATCCATTCTGAGGGAGCGCCATATGTATGTATGCTTCCAATATGATAGTACGTACACATACATCATGAACAGAAGACAGCGCTCCTATGATCATTTCACTAAGATTGATCTATCGATGATGTTTTATTCTTACTTTGAGCTGGATGAAGCCAGCCAAAAGATCTGCACACTCACCATGACCCATGGCAATTACAGATGCCTACGATTACCGATGGGCCTTAAATCATCTCCAGATTATGCCCAAGCATTTATGACCACCAAGATTCTGGTGAATCTTACCACCACATGTTGAGTATATCCTTAGGCTAGTACTACTACCAATGATCGACTATGTTTCTACCTTATACCGACAATGTTTTTACCATAAGTCTGCAATGTTTTTACCGTAAATCTACCAGGAAAAAGCCAGATAAATTTGACCTAAATGAAAATTGTTTCCCGGGACCCCCTATTCTTATTACAGCCGTTGCGTCCAAACACACATGTGTGCAATGCTACCATTGGTCGAAGTGGTCAAACGGGCGGTGGATCTAGTAGCTAAGCGTACGTAGAAATTCGATGTTTCAGAACGTCCCAGGATACCTCCGTACCCCACGGTACGGTAGGATCGACTTGTGAAATTTCAATATTCGTGACTCAAAATCATTATTCCCGGATTAATAGTGCGCGCTTCGACATGACATCAGCCGCGATAGCAGATGATTTGAACCAATCAAATTAATAATATTCTAGTGTGTACCGTTCTCCGATGGATGTTGTGACAAGTACGCGCGTTTTTCTCATACGAAGCAAAAACATACGAAAGCAGATATCTCTCGGACGCATGCAAAACGCTGACACGACAGTTCTGTTACATGCAGTACAATTTTTTCGTACATACGTAATGACAAGGTGAGAAAGAATGACAGAAGGAATATCCTTCTCGAGACGCAAAAATCAATGCGTTGCGATGTGTCACACGTACGAGTACGTAATTCGATTTTCGATCTTCGAAAGATCACCAAACGACCAAGCCCACGGATGTCCTCACAATTCAACAAGTATTCAAATTCAAACTATAAAGGAACATTTCAAGATGATGACTGTTGTAAGTATAAGCATGTCGTGCGATGCTCACAGTGGACACGACAGAAAGACCTTGGCACTTTTCTCACCAAACCTTCCATTTTACGTTCTGTGCTTCTCAGAGCAAATTCGCCCTTGTCGCTGCCCTCGTCGGAGGTGCTTCCGCCTTCGCCCCCGCCAACAAGGCCAGTGTCTCCACTGCCCTTTTCAACGGACCTGTTCTTGGAGCCGGAGGTATGGCTGACACCCGTGACCCTGACGAACTCGTCCACGAGGATGCCCGTAAGTCGATCGCTGCCGCCCCTTCTTTCGAGGAATACTTGAAGATGCGTGACGGAGGTGATGCCGCCGCCCCTGCCGCCGCCGCCCCTGCCCCTGCCGCTCCCGCTGCCCCTGCGGCCGCCGCCCCCGCTGCCCCTGCCGCCGCCGCCCCTGCTGCCGGTGGAACCATCTTCGCCACCCTTCAAACCCTTGAAGGACCTGGACAAGTTTGGGGAGCTGATGGTATTGCCGTCGGAAAGGAAGAATCCGACCTCAAGGGATACGACAACTTCGGACTTTTCTGTGAGCGTCTTCAGTCCACCGGAGTCGCTGACATCCTCAACGGACCTGGACCTTACACCGTCTTCGCCCCTGTTGACAGTGCCATCACCACTTACGAAAAGATGTTCGGACCATTCGATGCCGATGCCTGCAAGACCCACATCGTCAACGGAAAGATTGCCTCCTCTGCCGTCTCCACCGCTGACCTCTCCAACATTGGAGGAACCCCTCTTACTTACCGACGTGCCGTCCGAAAGGACTTCGTCAACGATGCCATCATCGGAGAGAAGACCTTCGGACAGTACTCTGACTACCCTGTCGATGTTGAGACCTCCAACGGAGTCATCCACGCCGTTGGACTTTCCATGGCCGAGTAAATCGTCGTGTTTAGCGCACATTAATCAGACGTTCTAAATAGATTGTAAATTTTGCTGCTTATTCCACCGGTTGTAGTCGCCTAGTTGTCACAAAGTGAAACCACCCAACGTCGAATATTCGTTGGGTTTTCCTTGAAACTGGTTAGCCCATGTTTAGATGCATAATGGGTTCGGAAGACATGACATTACAGTCAACCTTTGGAAGTCTGGATCAATTCGCTTCGTGTTTAGTGGTTCTCCGTTCGCACCGTACAGCGCGACCGGTCTCAACTTTGGATGATGGATTTCAACACAACCGTAGAAATTCAGAAATTCCTTTTTGACATCAGCAATGCTCACGTAACTTTGAAATTTCAAGGAGATTACAAATGCACATAATTTGTTGGAAGAATGTAAAGCCAAGGCTACACCACCAGTCATAGCCTGCTGTTCTGCCTTTTCAAAGTACAAGAAGGATGCTATGATGAAACAATCAATTTTGACAACTTCTTAGTAGCTAGTGGTGTATCTGGTCAAGAATGAAGGAGAAGCACCACCAGTTGAGGCAGGAGGAGGGGGACAAGGAATTGACAGTACTAGTAATACCAAATGAAGCCTGAAACAAGTTGGGTGATGATGCAGAGGAATGCTGGCCTCCTCGTCCCCCTCTGTCCAGCAGTATGATACACCACCACCACCACCACCACCACCTGGAGGAGGATGTGCAACCCCAGCAGGTCCCACCAGCTGTGCTGTAAGGAATGCATTTGCAACGGATACGTACGTATACGATACGAAGCTCCGAAGAAATGAATAAAGGATCATACCATTCCTACGTACCTGTCGTAAGGTACGCTTCCTATGTATGTATCATAGGATGCATCATAAGAGGTCCGAAGATCGTAAGAGGTCTAAGATACTATTCRAGAATACCTCACGAAGAATAGAGATGTCACGAGTCCGGAATAGAGAACCTCCGTGTAGATTCCCTACCAGGTCTACATGAGGTTCCAATCGGAAMTTCGGAATTCTCGTGAACGCGCTTGGYAATCTTCGAATAATTCTAATCTTATAATTTCAATTTTCATACACACTTAACATACTAAGAGTACACGTAATCTCGTGCAGCATTGGATGGCTGTACTAATACTAAGGTGGAAGGGTTGGCACATTTGTTCTTGTTCTTGTTTCATGAAAGAATCCTTCAGCTGATTCATTCATGTGCCAATTCCACCACCCACATCCTCAATTCTATCCCTGTCAACAAAATATTTTTATCAACTATATTCTTAAAAGTACAAATCATGGAAGTCAAATAGAATAAATACTAGTAGAATATAAAAAAGTACAAAAATAGTCGTTATTCAACTTGAATTGTCCTTCTGGAGCTAGGGAGTTTGAGGGGGTGAAAAACGTAAAAACATGGTATCAACATATTTTTAATGCAGAGCATGTCCTAGGTTGAACACTTTTTTTCCTGAAGAAATGAAGTTGCGGAAATGAGATGTTGGTGGCAAGTGATGAGTTTGCTGATATGCTATTCAAAATTTGACTTCCACTTGCAGCGCACGTACGAGTACTACCGTACAGAGATGTCGACAGCGAGAAATTTATCGTCCATCTCAAGATTACCACTGATGCCATTGATTGTTCAGAACTTCCGTAGAGCGAGTGTAATAACATCGCCCACGAGAAAGGGTAGTCACTTTAAKGATTCAATTCTTTTCCAGGATGGAATGCGAACGCGAGAAAATAGAATCTTCTGAGACAAGTTCCGAGAACGACGCATTTGACGACGATAAGAAATACAAGTCAAGTACGAAGAGAAAGAAAGAAAATCGAAAGTCAGAACGCAAGTCGGAAGATCGAGCACGGAAGAAAGAACGACTAGGTAACAGTAGAGGAAAAGGAAACAACGAAGACGACTATAGCGATAGGAGTAGCAGTAGAGAAAGCGCTAGCGAAGACAATTATAGGAGGAGGGATCGGAAGCGCAAACGACACGCGAAAAAACAGCGAGGCAGCAGCAGGAAAGCTTCTCGTTCCTATTTCAGTGACGACTCCTCCGATGATGACGAAAGTTCGATTAGCAATTCGAGTGAAACTGATTCCTACAGAAACGAGGCGCGACGGAAACAGAAAAAGGACGGAAGACAGAGGCGTCGGAAACGAAAAGAGAAGCGAAACTACCGTTATGATTATTCATCCTCCTCATCGTCCGATGACGAGTCTTCAAATCATAAAAAACGCAAGCATAAAAAGGGAAAAAAAAAGAAAAAAAAGAAGAAATCGAGCAAATCCGAAGAACGTCGAAGTGTTATCTCAGGAAAGAAAATAAAGCTGCACATTGAAAAGACAGACGAGGACTTAGCTCGAGAAGAAGCCAGAAAGAATTATCTGGAGTTTATGAATTCTTCAGTTCGATAGACTATATAATAGGATAATGTAAAATCGGCAAAAATAGTTTCAAAGTTATCTGCCACTTCTATCAATCATAATATTTTCCAGCTCTCGATGCTCGAAACAGCGTTGAAGAAATTAATTTAGTTTAGATTCAGAAAGAAAATATAGCACTCTATTACAAGCTACTATCGTTTAAGGCCACGCACGTCACGGCACCCTGATGGCCATGGTATTGACGAACAACATCTCCAGTTCTGAGATTCCAAAGGCGTGCTGTTGAATCGCTAGAAGCAGTTACCAGGTAGCTGGAGTCGGCACAGAAAGCGGCTGTAGATGACAAATTTGTGAGATCATAAATCTTGAACGAATATATAAGTTTTGGCGTTTTCGCCTTCGATTTGTATCTGTATTTGTTTACTTACCATCCCAGACCCATTTTGAATGGGCCTGTAAGTTATGCGCGAGTTCCCATGTTACCGTATCAAAAAGTCTGGCCGATCCATCCGACCCTGTCGTACACAAATGGCGACAATCCGGAGATATTTTGGCGTGAAGGCAGTAGCTTCCTGAAGGATGAGCTCTAAATTTTGTTATTGGTCGGTGCTGTAGGAAACTCCCTGTGTTTTGGCTTGTTGGATCCCATACATAGACAGTACCGTGATTACTAACAACAGCAAATGTTCTAGAGTCTTCCGAAATATCTACTGCTTGAATAGACGTCTGGATCAAACAACCTCCCGTGGATCCTTTTCCTGGTTGTACCTGATGAATAAATCCGTTGTCCCCCTTCTTGTTGCTCCCTCTCATGTAATTCTCGTTTGATCTTCCATTCCCTCCAAGATCCCATAGTGTAACTTTTCCTGCAGCATCCCCCGAGTAAATCTCGTCACGATCGCCTCTCAATGTCACCGATCTCACGGGGGCTTTTACATCAAAACTACGCGAGTATGTTGGATTTCTCAAGTCCCACAATTTCACTGTGCCATCTTCACTTCCACTATACAGGTAATGCCCATCTCTTTGAAAGCCTAATGAGGTAACGCTGGACGTATGCCCTTCTAACGTAAGCGCTGGTTGTTGCTGGTCGGGATTTGCAATTTCGTATAATCGTATGTGTGGATTACCACCGGCTAAGGACAGATGTGTATGTGAATGAAGAGAAGAATAAAATCACCAATCGAATCCAGAGTAATACGAATTGAATTGGTCAGTACATTCCAGGAAGATAACTCCCCCGATAAATAGCAAGCGAAGAAACCAATTCATTGCCTCAGTGCGTGCTTACCCGCAAGAAATTGCTTGTCTGGTGTGATTTCTAGTTTGTTGACCTGTGAGTCTGGATACTTGAGCGTCCTCTGGCAAATTCCCGACGGCGCTTCCCAAAATCTGATTCGATGATCAAATCCAGCAGTGGCTAGGATTACACTCATTTCGAACGTTTACAGTTGCTCGTAGCAGTTTTTGCGGCTTCGAGCTTTACTGTTTATTCGGCAAATGGCGACATCGACAGTTCTACTTTCGGATCTTGGTTTGTCATGGATCGAAAACCAATTCCCATCAACTAATCTTTTGGATCTCCATAGAATCGGTGTACCTTATGCAGAAATAAGCTACAGAAATAAATCTTGGATGATGGTGGGCGTTGACTGCTTCGTACAGCACAACTACGAGTACTTACTTGGTACTAGTACGGTAGAAGAAGTATTTCTCACAAGCAAGGTCACGGACCAAGTACTGTAATACCCTACAGGTAGGGTGTGGTACTGTACCGTACTAGGTTTAGCGTTCCGTACGGTACGGTAGGAATACCTTTTTTTTAAATGATACGAGTAATACGTAGTAGTACGAGTTACTCGTTCCACCCATTGAGACTGTATTGATTCCTACTGCCAGGCCAGGGGTCCTAAATTTATCATCCCTGCCTACCGGCGCGGCACCAACGGTATGTACCGTTACAGCCAGGATAAGATAAGAAAGCAAGGGCGCGCGGTGCGGAGATTTTTTGTTTTTTGTGTAGCATCGTACATACTATTCTTCAAACATATAAAGAGTATTGTCATACTGTATTAACATGTGCTCCATAGATTGTTTCATGACTGAGATAGTACGTCACAAATTAATATCATGATGAGCGAGATGAATTGCTTGGTTGCCATGATCCACCATGCACACCACACGTGAGGATTTTTTTTGTGAAGAACTATTACGAGGCTATCTACCGGTACGATTATTCGTACTGCGCGACTCCCCTTTCTGTACTGATCTTGAATCATCATCATACTCATAATCATTTAGCTGCCGAAACCTGCCAACAGGAACTGGCTCAAAGCATAACATTTCACCAGTGATATCTACTATCATTCCTGTAGAAAACATCACTTGGCAAGAATAACTAATATCATGTATTTCGTTGGAATATTGGTGGTGGCCTTCTTGAACTCTTCGAATGGCGTCAACGGATTTCAGGCGAGAAGAGGACCCAGACTTACCACGTTGAATGGAGCCAAGGCGGCTATTTCCACGGCTCTGAACGAATCGCCCTATTATTCTATTGAAACAAATAACAATGGTCCGGCAGGAGGCGAAGTGCACAGATTAACCATTCACAAACTTCCAGGGCAAAAAGAAGATGATGAAAACGAAAACCCCATTGTGATTGAAACTGGCAAGATCGGTCGTCAGGCCTCCGGTGCCGTAACGCTGCAAAGAGGAGATACTGTTCTTTATGCTACAGCTGCATGTGATGGCTCCCCGAAAGAAGGACTTGATTTCTTGCCTTTAAGTGTAGAGCATCAGGAACGATTTTCTTCCGTAGGTTTGACGTCTGGTGGATATAACAAGAGAGATGGACGTCCTGCAGAACACGAAGTTTTGACGTGCCGATTGATTGATAGACCACTCCGTCCTTTGATTGCGGAAGGTTGGCGTCACGAAACTCAGTTGCTTTCGTKGGTTATGAGTTACGATGGGCTTCGCAGTGCCGATCCTTTGGCCATTGTCGCATCCTCCACCGCACTTTTCCTCAGTGAAGTTCCACTTACGAAAGCTGTAGCCGCAGCGATGGTTGGCTACGACAAAGAAACCGATACCTTTTTGTTGAACCCTACTAACGAGGAAATGGAAAAATCGCCATTACAGTTAATTGTTGCAGGGACGAAAGATGCAGTTCTCATGATTGAGGGTGCTGCAGACTTTTTGCCCGAAGAAACCATGGTGCGGGCCGTCACGTTCGGACACGAAGCAATTCAAGTTATTTGCGAGGCAGTTGAAGAATTTGGTGCCCTTGCTGGAAAAGAAAAGAATTTTGAGACTCTAAAAACAGCGCCTGAGGCTCTGCAGCAGGTTGTCGATGATCTGATGACGGAGAAGGTGGATGCGGCGTACGCGTTGGGCGGAACCAAGACCACGCAGGGACCTGTCATGTCAGAGCTCAGGAAAGAGTTGGTTGAGACTTTGACCAACAGCGACGATGAAGAAGCTGCAGAATATGCTCCAAATGATATCAAGTCTGCCTTTAAGGATCTATTGTGCCGCCGCATGTTTGTTCGAGCCCAAGAAACTGGACAGCGATGTGATGGTCGAGCATTGGATGAGATTCGTCATCTCACGATGGAAACTGGTTTCCTGCCAAAGACACATGGTTCTGCTTTGTTCACTAGAGGAGAGACACAAGCTATTGCAACCACGGTAAGTTGACACGTATTGAGACAGAACTTTCTTATCCTTCGTACGCAACTTGAACCGATGAGATTAATCTAACTCTTTTCGGTTTGTCCCATCTTTTCGTACGAAGACGTTGGGGGATTCTGGAATGAGACAAAAAATTGACAAGATTGATGGTACCGAAGAGAAAAGGTTTTACTTGCAATACTCTTTCCCACCTTCTTGTGTAGGCGAAACTGGTAGAACAGGGGCGCCTGGACGACGTGAAATTGGTCACGGTAATCTTGCGGAACGGTAAGAAGAAGCCATCATGAAAACGAGTCAACTGACAGTATCCTTTCTGATATCACACCTTACTTACTCACATTGCATTTAATTTTCGTCCGATGAAGTGCGCTTGCCCCAACCTTGCCATCCGAAGAAGAATTTCCTTACACCATTCGTGTCGAATCTTTGATTACGGAATCGCATGGTTCCTCTTCTATGGCCAGTGTCTGCGGTGGATGTTTGGCGCTGATGGATTCTGGAGTACCAATCAAAAATCCCGGTGAGTTTTTCCACTTTTCTTCGAACATGATGAGATAATTTTTATGGTGTTTGAATTGAGCCGTACATTGTCCTAACTTATTTCTTTCTGGTCGAGACAGTCGCTGGAATTGCGATGGGCATGCTTTTGGGAGATAAGGAAGGTGTTTCGGACGAAAATGCATTGATTCTTTCAGACATTTTGGGGACGGAGGACGCTTTGGGTACAATGGATTTCAAGGTAGCTGGAGATCGTACCGGTATCACAACATTTCAATTAGATATCAAGTGTGAAGGTCTAAGCCTACAAACTATGGAGCGAGCCCTGGAACAAGCAAGAGTGGGTAGATTACACATTCTTGATAAAATGGACGAGGTCCTTTCAAAGTCCAGAGAGATTCTCCCGGACACCGTGCCAAAGCTGGCGCGATTCACAATCGAACCTTCGTCTATTGGAAAAGTTATTGGTCCGGGGGGGAAGCAAATTCGTGCGATTATTGAGGACTATGAACTCTCGAACATGAACGTCGACGACGACGGAAACGTACAAATCTCTTCGTTCAAGCAGGACAAGTTGGTCGAAGCAGAAGAATTTGTCAAGAAGTTGGTCGCCGGTGGCGGTGGCCGTGATGGCGGCGGCCGCGGTGGCAGAGAACCCAGACCTCAATACAGCGGTCCGGATCCAGTAGAAGGCCAGGTTTACAAGGGAACAATAAAGGGTGTGCACCCGTTCGGGGTCTTCCTTGAATTTATGCCTGGAGCCGAGGATGGATCAACCCCGGGGCTAGAGGGGCTCTGCCATGTTTCTGAGCTAGCGGAAGAACATGTCAGAAGTTGTGAAGGCTACGTAAAGAGTGTCTTGAACACAGAGGAGTTCGATGTTGTGTATATGGGCGTCAACAAACAAGGCAAGAGATCATTGAGCCGCAAGGCGGCCTTGGCTGCGAAGAGAAACGGCACTAACGGAGCGCCCAAAGAACAGGCATCTGTCATGTCAGACGAAGAGTTTGATGTCATTGCCAAAGCCATCGAAGGAGTACAAGAATCTTAATTCATTCATCGCTATAATTTCCAAGTTAGAACGTTTCTGTTTCCCCCTCTTTTCTATTTTGTCAATGGTTAAGTGTGCAAGACGTTTCCGAAATTGTACTTGTGGTCGTGAAACTTACCCAGACTAATACATTTCTGTAGTAAGGTATGGAGCTGTAGTAGACAGGCATCGTACAGAGGTACGGTACAGTAATTGGTAATGCACTTTTTTCAACATGTGAGCAGTAGATATTGATCATATGATTAGAAGTTTGTGAGACAATTTCGAAACAGTTCACACTGGACGATAAGACGTTCGGGACAAACGCGTAGTTACGATAGTACGGTAAAATTAGTACGAAACTTTACAGTATTCGTCTATTCGTAATGGTCACGGTGCGACTTCTCGACGAGAAACACGGTCATACAAACCGATACGAGTTTCTACAGCCATTGTATCTTGTGTGGTACAGTATCAGTCGTCGAGACCGTCAAAGACCTCATATCGATTTCATAACAACGGGATATCCAAAAGAAATCGACATACTTCAGAAAAAGTTGTCCTTCGCTCTTCGAAATACTAGAAACAAGGAGGAGAGAAGCACGAAATCGAGATCGGCATCAACATCAACCACGATGAGATCAGTCAACAATGAACGAAAACTCCTGTGCTGGTCAGTGTTAGCACTTTCCATGCTGGCTCTTTTTCTGGCAGAAAGCATGACCCACGTCAATGCGCATCCTATGTTGATAGAGGTGGCAGAGCAAGGTGAAAGAGTGAGTTATCTAGATTGAATCACTATTGTCGGTGCTGGCTGGGTCATAGCTATGATCTTCGTTGTCTTCGACTGCATTGATCGTCTTCGCTGGTTTTTCGGCTTTGCAAAGCCTCTTGCACACGGCGCCAGTCTAAAGCTTTTACTAACCTGGTACGGATTCTGTTCCTATACACTTTGCTCCAGTGCCTGCGCTTGAATATTCCAGAGGACGACGATGCGCACATGGTATTTTTGTCCCTTCCCTCTGAATCGTTCGAGAACGACGACCAAACCGGTTCTCCCGATTGGACGAAGAACTACAGCGGCATAGAGAACCACTTTCTGAATCAGATGCAGGACCTGACCAATCGTAGAACCAAAAATGGCTCGCTCCTCCGTAAATTCCCCGAGAAGCCTCCACAGGACGTGCAGAATTCCATGAACAGTTTCATCTCGTCGAACGAATCGAAATCAGGGTGCACGGTCAAGCTGACGAACCCCAAATCTACGAGTTCTCGTTCATTCAATACTCATTGGTTTATTCCTCTGGTTATAAATCACCTCCGCAAAGCCGTTCGAACAGAAAAAAAAGACAGAGAGTCGAGCCCATTAGAAGGATACGAGGCTTGTTTTCAAAACGAGAACGATTATCCAGTACATTTTATCCTAGATTCGGTTATGGTGGGCGAAGGGCCCGAGTACGACGACGACGATAACGCAAGCGAGGATCCCACGTTCCAGGGTCACCACCTGACGCCTCTGGCAAATCTTCTTGAGGAGAGCATCAAATCGGCGAAGGTAGTCATCACCGAAATGCAGTACATGGAACGAAGGGAAGCTAGGATGCGCCACACGGCGGACAACATCAACTCGAGGGTCCGATTCTTTTCGTACATATCGATTGCAATTCTTTTCGTCGTGACATTTCTGCAGGTATCATACCTGAAGAGATATTTTAAAAAGAAAAAACTCTTGTGATTGGGTCGGTTTGACATACCGATGTCAGATTGCTTGTTACGCAAGTTAGTAGTAGTTGGAATCTGCTAATGCATAAGTCAGACCTGTTTTCTATCGATAAAGTTCTTTTCATCCTATTGATTCATTGCTTTCCCAATTTCTGAAATGGTACTTATTAATCATAGATTCGTCCATTGTTTTCTCTGCCATATAGCGTGATTGCATCGTACAAGAAGACTGAACTTGATTCCTTTTGAATGGGTCCGCTGTTTTCGTATTTCTTTTTACACTTCGAGGGGGCCAGACGAGGATCACCAGCTGTCCATTTGAGTTATGATAATGTTGCTTGCAATAGTCATGATGAAGATAAGCTCCATTAGTATCTCTTATTTTTAAAAGAATTTATGATGTTCGGCGACTATACTCCCAAGATTAACAAGTAACTTGTAGATTGTAGATTTGAGGTATCATTGAATGGTATTGGGAGCAACATAGTGAGAAAACACGTTGCTATTCGGCTTGCTTTCTGCAGATTGTCAGAGCACAAACCTGCAAGTTTCCATCGGCATTGGAAAATGCATACACTATACCATTCGTATCTGCAATAATTTTCTATTGCATTTGAGTACCTTATACAGTAACTTCAAAGAAGATGACAGATGCAGCAAGAATAGAGATAAATTCATTGATGCGAGAACTACAGCACAATTTTTATTTCATACACCATTGCTAGTAGAGCTACTAAGTACGGGCCCCATAACGGCAAGTTATTGGCAATTCCCTGGGTGTCATTTTTTCTCATTTTCCCGTCTTTATTTCCCCTCTCCCCCCTCCAGACAAAAAACTATGAAGTCTGAAAATATTTCTAGTACTATTCCTGGTCCTTACTACTAGTAGGAATATGCAGAATATCAAATCAGTGCAGTGCTTATCTCAAGTATTAAGTGTGAGGATATAGCTGGATCACGAGTAGCTAGTGAATAACCTCACTCTTTATTGTAAACCACGTATTATCATGCAGCAAGGAGCCTAAGGAGCCTATCACTAATTCACATTTGCACGAGATTACGTGTACTCTTAAGTGTGTATGAAAATAAAATTATAAGATTAAGATTCTCGCGCTTCGACGTGAGCTTTCAGTAGCTCTGATTATATCCCGTGTAGCTCTCGGTACTAAATCTACACAGGGTTCTTATTATTCTGATCTACTGACATCTTTGTTCCGTGCGAGGTATTCTATTTCTGATATCATGGACCTCTTACGATCCTCGGACCTCTTACGTGTTCGGTCCTCTTATGATGCATCCTATGATACATACATAGGAAGCGTACCTTACGATAGATACGTAGGAATGGGATGATCCCTCATTCCTTTCTTCGGAGCTTCGTATCGTGTACGTACGTATCCTTTTTAATACAGTACGTACGTATCCGTTGCATTGTCCCACACAGTGATATTGATATATATATTGTAATATCACTCACTACTAAACTGTAGCAATCATATCTTCGATATTTTCAACAG